TTCATGTCTTTAACACCCCCCCAGCAATGGAAGGAAACAACAGGGCACTGAAGGATTGGGAGCCATACAGCTCTAGGTCTCAGGCAGCTGTGTAAGCCACCGCTCCTCTCCGATTCCCATTTCCTCATCTGAAAAATGAGGATAACAATAACACCCACCTGGCAAGGATTCTGGGTAATGAGATAAGAGGTAGGGCTGCCGGGTGAGGAAGAATGCCAGGAATGCCACAGACCCCGGCTTCCTTCTAGCTCCTTCACAGTCCTGCCACTTACTCACTTAGGGACCTTGGCTATGTTACCTGGACTTCCTAGTCCTTAGTGTCTTCATCCGTAAAGTGGAGTAGGACAACAATTTACATGAAAGGGTTCATGTGAAAACAGAATGAACAGCTACATGGGAAGCGCTCAGAACTAAGTGCCCAGCACACAGTAAATGCAGCAGGAAAATGTTAGCTATTATTACATAAAGCTGCATAGGACACAGAAGGCTGAGACTCACCCAGCACACATATGGCCTCTTCACTAGGCCTCTACTCTGCCCCCAGCAAATGCAGAGGCCGAGGTTGACAGGGGTGGACAGAGGAAGACCAGTCAGCCATCACCAGGCCTGGTGTTTTCCTCCCGCCACACATCTCAACTCTGATGACACCAAACAACTGTGCACATTTTTTTCACAGCGCCTTCCTCTACTGGCCAGGTCCTCAAGCAGTGGCCTTGCCTGTTCTTGATCCCTCTGTCCTCTGAGAAACCCCACCCTTCCAGTTCACTTTGTCCTCACGACTGTGTCTATGGCCTGACTAAGCCCGCAACCCTGTCTTCCTGGCTGGTGGGAAGACAGCTCTGCAAGTGGCAAGAGCATGCTGTTTGCTCAGCCTGGTGGCCCCTCCTGCTCTGTGAACACAGCCAAGAAATATTTGTGGATGACAACAACCCCATTCTTGCCCCAGATCTAGACAGAGGAGCAAGACTCTTAATTCTCATTAAATCCAACATTATCATTTTCTCCCACAGCAGCATAATGCTCACAACACAGTGGAGGGGGCAATAAATAGTCTCCCTCCTGAAAGGAAGGACAGGCACCCTAGAAAAAGAATCCAGCATGCCAAAGGAGCCAGACTTCCCCCAGAGCCTCTCCCCGAGCTCACTCTCACTAGCGCTCTCTCTCATGGCCTCAGCCCCTGTAGGGAGCGTGCTGACAACCCTACCACCTGCAGCTGACGGTAGTTCAGCAGTGATGTGATAGACCGTGCATCACCCTGGCTGTCAAGAACACCAGGCTGGCCTCTCTAGGTTCAGTATCTAAATGTGAGCCAGCTTGCAGGGTGGGTGGCGGCAGAGGAGAGACAGTTCCCACCACATTGGCTTCAGCCCACCACTGCATACAGCAGAGACGGAGCTAGGCCCATGCAGAAAACGTAGGAACACAGCTCTCTTGAGCACGGGACACTCAGCAGTGGGTCCTAGCCTCTATAAATCATTCTAGGCGGCAGAACTGTCGGGGGAGGGAGCAGACTAAGCTTAAACAACAAGAACGATCTCTTAAAATCCTGGCAGGGGGTGACCGCTCCATATAAAACGACAAGCATCCGTCAGGATCAACAACTAGTAATCAAACAACTAAATCCTCATGCACCGGTGACCAGAAGGAGGCAGGGATTCGTGTCGCTTTCTATCACACTAGAAAGACCACACCCAGAGCCTGGCAGATTCTGGCATCCTGGAACCCGTCCAGAAAAGCAGTATGGAAGGATGGGGGGGGGTTCTGGGTAACTGATATGGGCATGGAAGGGTGATAGTCAAAGCAAAGAATGTGTTGTGTTAGTAGCATGACCTCGGATGGACTTTACTTCTCAGAGCCCTCTGTTTCTTATGCTGTGACATGATGGTGGTGACACACGCACAGGGTGGTTGGGAGAATTGAGTCCTAGGCAGACCTGGTTCCCAACAAGCTACATCTTGACCCGGGCCCTATTTCTCCCCCGTCTGTCCACCAGAGGGAGCCTGGGGCCCACCAGAGCCCAGCCTGTAGCAGCTCCGCCTGTCCTCCCCCAATGCTGCAGCCTCAGCTGCTGAACTCCCACCCTGCCTGCCCGCGCTTCCAACAGCAGCCTTCTCACCCACTCCTTACAAACCCAGAACAGGCCTAGTAGGGGGAGTCGCTTGCAGCAGCACTGGTTACAGCAATGGCACAGGTTCTCCTAACATCCGGCAAGGAGGAAGGTGGGAAAGAGGAAGGTAGCCATCTCTTCTCCCCATCAACTCCTCCATTCATCCCAGACCCATTTCTTCTAGTTCAAAACCTGGAGATACCTGAGGTTCTCCTGGCTTTTCCTAGTTCAGTATCTCACCCTCACCAGGTCCAGTGGCCAAGACTCCTAGAGGATGGCTAAGCTCTAGGGAATAAATAACATGCCTGTAAGAGAGGCAGACTTAGATTCTAGTCCCAGCTCCATTAGCAACTAGTAGCATAACCTTAATAAGGCTCCTTCAACTTGAAGCCTCAGTTTCTCCCTCTCTAAAATGGAGTTGCCGATGTTCACTTAGTGGGCTTTGTCGTAAAGTCCAAATGAAGTAACCACAGATAGGCAAGCAGTTAATGTGTAGTCGAGAGACATTCAAAGTGCTATTTAAACCTCTTTATCAGCCCAGCAGGAAATGTGATTCAAGGCATTCCAACAACCAACCTGGAAAGTGCGCAAAAAAAGAAAGAGTCTGAAGCAGGCCTGCAAGGATGGCAGAAGGGCAAATGGGCTTCCGGCCAGCCAAGACCTTCAGACCTATGACTGCAGGATGGAGAATCTGAGAGCAACGGAATTCTGAAATTTAGGAAGATTCTGGTCTTTTCACTGGGCTTAATGCCCGAGTCAGGAACTATGTGCTTCTTCCAGCTCTCTCGGACCCCCCCTGGGCCTCAACTGGACCTGTGGGGCCAGCCACTGCCCCCAACCCTTGAGGCAATCTACTGCATCACAACTGGCTACATTGAAAAGTTCTCTTGATTTTATCTCAAATGTTCCCAACTGCTCCTGAATCTGCTGCCTAGAGTCATACATAACGAGGCTGCTCCCTCCATCATAGGCCTGACCCCCCTAGAGAAGGCTGCAACCAGGCTCAAGGACCACAATGCCCTGTCCAGTCATTCTCTGCCCCCATTCTGGGGCTGTCCCTCCACCCCAACACTCAGCTGAGGGTGCACTGCAGTGGAGCCCAGCCAAGCCCTCAAGCTGCAGCTGCTGCTCCTGGGGCCCAGCCATCTCAACCCAGCACCCCAGCCTGCTGCCTCACCATGGGGGAGTTGCAGAGAGCTGTCTCCCGGCAGATTTCCTGAGGCAGAAGGCTTCCCCACCCCCAGCCCAGCCTCCAAGAGACACTCCACTAGTTGTGGCACATGGTAGGACCAGCTGAGCAGTGAGAGGAGGGGGAAGCCTGTCCATTTGCGAAAGGACTTCAGACTTGCTCTCTGGTGTGGCTGGGTTAGTAACATCACCACTGAATCTCAGTTGGCAGACCTTGCCTTTAAAAGAAATACAGGGAAAAGGATGGACAGATAGAAGAACGGACTCAGTCAAGGTCACAAAGCCAATCTGCAACAGAGCTGGAAGGGAAACCCAGTTCAGTGTTCTTTCCACTATAGCAGCAAAGCAATAGGAGAGCCTTCATGTCCTTGACTCACAGCCTAATACATCTATCCCAACCGGCGCACAATGGAATCTATATGGGAAAAGTGGCCCCTGCCCATGTCCCATCAACTCAGAAATATTCCTATCCTGTCTCAGACACATGGACAGACCCCAGCACCGGAACTGAAGCTGATCCAACAGATGGGAGATCTATGGACTTCCCTTCCTGGTAGGGCTCTTTAAGTGGGTGTTGTTTTTCTTGAAGGGTGGAGACCAGCTGGACTTTGAGAAACTAACCAAAGGCCTAGCTTCCATCTTTGCTCCCCCATCTTTGCCACCCCCCCCCATGCCAAGACGTACTGCAGTTCCCCTCAGAGGGATGTCTCAGCCGCCAGAATCCGTCCTGGTCTCCACCTGCCTCTAGACAAGATTACCCCTTCCCCCCAAAAAAGGTGTGTAGGAGTGTTTCTCTCCTTTTGGGGCTTTGAGTTGGTACCACCTCTGTCTAAAAAATATTTATTCCATTCTCCGGAAAAGATACAGCTGGGGGTTGAACAAGTGCAAGGAGGTAGTGGGGATTGCTTTAGTCTCTAACTGGCCTTGGTTCTGGAGGTTAAAAAAAAAAAGAGGTAGCAGCATCAGCCCGCACTCATCTGTCCAAACCAGTGTGTGGTGGCTAGGGAAAGCATGTCAGCTGGCTGAGGAGGACCTGGATTCTCCCGATTGGGACAGGAGAAGCAGGAAATGGGATCAGGCAATGGGCTTCATATACTTTATCCGCCAGATAAGTTGGAGAGGAATCTAGAGGGGAAGGGAGGAGTGGGGTGGGGGGGTTGCAAACACATTCCTTACTTTCTCTGGAGGGTTGTAGCCGGGCTGGTGCTGGTACTGGTGCTGTGACCTCCGCCTGCGCCAGGACTGGAGCTTCTGGATGCGCCACGGCTCAACTGGCCCCGCTCCCGTGGTGGCCGCTGCCCCACGCCCACCGCCGAGGAATAGCCGGCTTCCTTCTCACGGCCCGGGTGCGCTGGCCCGGCCTCCCTCCCGCCACGCTCTCGACCCAGGGCTGGGCTCTCGTGGTGCAGGTGGCACTGGGCCACGTCGCGTTCGCGGGCTGTGTAGCCGGTAGTGTCCTGGAGCTGATAGGAGGCTTCTCGTTCCTTGTCCCGATAGATAGCTTCCCGGTTCTGGTAGGCGCCATCCCGGTTCGGGTAACCCACGTCCCGGGACGCCTGGTGGAACTGGCTCTCCCGCAGCTCGCGGTGGTGGAACTGGGTCTCGCGCAGGTTCTGGTACTGGCTCTCGCGGCCAGGGCTATCCCGCGCGCCAAGGGGGTCCCGGTGCAGTTCCCCGCGGTGCAGCTGGCTCTCCTCCCGCAGGTCGCGGTTCTCCTGGGTGAGCTGGTCCAACTGGCCCTCCAGCTCTTCGATGCGCCGCCGCTGGGTCTCCAACAGCTGCTGCTGACTCTCAATGATGTTGTTCAGCTCCAGCAGGTACTCCACCGCCCGGTTGGGGCTCTCAGATCCCGGGCCACCCGGGGGCCCGGACCCCGCCTCCATCCTGGCGGCCCAGGGACAGGGGAACGGGCAGGAGAGCCCGGTCCCCGCTCGCTCACGGCGCCACCCTCCCCCGGGCCCAGCCGGGGGAGGGGGCCGGCGGGACGCGAGGGCGCGCACCGGGCTCGGGGGCCCGGGGGCCCTGGGGGGCCCGGGAGACAGCGCTGGGGCCGGCGGCACGGGGCGCAGGAGCTGAGGCTACCGCCACCGCCGTCACCGCCACCACCACCGCCAGGGCTCGGAAGGACGCGGCCCACGGCGCTCCGCCCGCTGCGGAGTCACTGCGCAGCGCGGCCGCGCGGGACCGCCCCGGCCGCCGGCCCGCCCCCCGCCCCTGCCCCCACCCAGTTCTCCCGACCCGCCCCCGCGTGCCCCACCTGCAGTCGCCACCAGCACCCGAACTGGACCAGCCCCAAGGCACTGGCACCTCAGCTGGAGGCCAGCTTTAGCTCAGTCTGCAGGAGATATATCCATTTCAGCAGTCCTGGGGTCTTCACCTAACCAGTCTAATGAAGTCCTCCGACCTATTCTAACATGCGCTGGCCCAAGGGGCCCAAGATTCAAGACATCAAAACACCCATCCCAGGCAGTCTCAAGACTCAGTCAACTCAGACTTCTAGCCCTCTCGTCTGCCAACCCCAAATAATATCCTATTCCCTAGCCCAGCTGGCTTCCTGTTTCAGGCGATCTCCTTCCAGCCCCATGACAAACTCTTGATTTTTTCATTCCATCTAGTCTATAGATCATCCCTCCATCCCTGTACTTCTGTGTTTCTCCAGCTCTGTGATCTTACAGCCCACCCAGTCGGTAGTTCCCCATCCCAGGCAGCCCCTGGAATTCTATTTCCACCAGCAGCAGCAGCACCACCACCACCATCACCATCACCACACACGGAAGTTCACAGGTATTTACCTCCAGTCAGCCTCTAAATTCTCCATCCAAATCAATGCTCAGATTCCCAATCCTACCCAACCCCAGGATTCCCCATGTTAGCCAGTCTTTTGACCAAGGCAGCCTCAAGATCATCCATTCCAACAAGCACCCCCTCTCCCGCACACCCCCGGACTCCCCATCAGAGTCTGACTTGATGTTAAAACATCTTTCTTCAACCATTATTTTCTATTTCCCATGGAAATGGTATCTTCGTTCATCCCATCATTGCCATCCAATGAAGTTTTATCTGTCCATCAAGACTTAAATCAAATGCTCAGCATGGGTCTATAATGCCTTCCCTTGTAAGGTTGAAGCAGGAGAATTGTCAGGAGTTCGGGACCAACCTGGGTTAAATAATGAGCTCTACACCATCCTGGGCTACAGTATGAGATGCTATCTCAAAAAAATCAAAATGACAATAGGAAACTTTGGGGTCTGGAGAGATGGCTCAGAAGTTAAGCGCACTGGCTGCTCTTCCAGAGGACCTGAATTCAATTTCTAGCACCCACATGGCAGTTCAAACCATCTGTAACTCCAGTTCCAGGGGGACCTGACATCCTCTTTTGGCCTCCATGGGCACCAGGCACTCTATATAAGTGCTATCAAAACACCCATATACATGAAGGAGGAGGAAAAGGAGGAGAAGAAAGAGAAGAGAAGGAGGAGGAGATGGAGACGAGGAAGAGAAAGAAGAGGAAGAAAATGAGGAAGAAAAGGAAGGAGGAGGAGGAGAAGAAGAAGAAGAAAAAGAAGGAGGAGGAGGAAGAAGAAGAGGAGGAGGAGGAGGACGTCTCAATCAAATGCCACTTTTTCTGAAGCCACCGCTGATTTTCCCAGTGATAAATTCTGCAGAGCTCCTGAAGAAATTGAACAGGAAGGGCAAACTGAAAGGTGCTGAAAAGGCTGTGACTAACTAAGGAGGAAGCTCAGTGACAATAGAATAGCCAGTTTTCTGACGTGAGGTTGGATCCAGAATGGTTTGAAAGCACGACAAATGCCTTCCGAGCCTATGCAACAGTCCTCTAGTGTGCTCAGGTGGCTAGTGAGTGCTGGACTTAGGCTCCCACTGGCCAGGATTGCCTTGATAGAAACAGATACAGAGTGAATGTTCTTGAGCTATCCTTCCAGGCTGTCGAACAGAAAGTGAAATAAAGTTAATGGAAAATAAGCATCACTTTCTTTTTTAAAGGTTTATCATGGTTGCTATTGTATTGTGCTACATATATATGTACAGATGCCCTTGGAGAGCATTGGATCCCCTTGAGCTGGAGTTACAGGTGGCTGTGAGTGGTGAGTACTGATATGAATGCTGGGAAATGAACTTGGGTACTCAGGAAGAACAGCAAGTGCTTTTAACCTCTGAGTCCCCAAACATCATTTTCTTAAACATGCATAATAGATACCACAGCCTCTATGATGGCTAAATCAAAGGTATTTACAATAAAAGATGTTAGCACAGACATGGAGAAATTGGAATCCTCATCCATTGCAAGCAGGAATGCAAAATGAAGCCATTGCTTTGTAAAGCAGCCTGGCTATTCCTTAGAAGGTTAAAAAAAAAAAGAGCCAACAGTTCTACTTCTAGGTATCTGTACAAGAGGAAGGAAAATGTACAACTATACAAAAACCCATGGAGTATCCATTGTTGCCTTATAAATAATAATAATAACCCCAAAGTAGAAACAACCAAACAAATCAGTTGATGAACGATAAACGAAATGTGGTATAATCAAAAATTGAAATACTGGGCTGGAGAGATGGCTCAGCAGTCAAGAACACTTGTTGTTCTTGCAGAGGACCTGAGTTTGATTCCTAGCACCAACAAGGCAAAACACCCATACTCATAAAATAAAAAAATCTAAAATTAAAAACGGAATGTTATTTGATCATTAAAAAACTGAAGACTCTAATGTGGTGATGCGTGCCTATAATCCCAGGAGGCTGAAGCAGGAGGATTGTGAATTCCAAGCCAGCCTAGGCTACAGAGTGAAATTCAGTTTCAAAACAACAACAGAAATAATGAAGTATTAACACGTAAAAAATGTGGGTGAGAGGGGAGGTGGGTGGGGGCTGGGAGGGGTGAAGAGAGGGGAAACTGCAGTTGGGATATATTGAAAACTATATATGTATATATATATGTATACATATATAGTGGGTGAACTGTAGAAACATTATACTAAGTGAAATAAACCAGCATGATTCCTTTTATATGAAGTTCCGAAATAGACAAGTCTATAGATATGAAAAGTAGAGGAGGAGGAGTAGAGGCTAGATATGTGGGGAAGTAGAAAGTGTCTGCTAATGTGTATGACTTTATTGGAGGGGATTAAAAAGTAGACTGTGCCAGGTGTTGGCGGCGCACACCTTTAATCCCAGCACTCGGGAGGCAGAGGCAGGCAGATCTCTCTGAGTTCGAAGCCAGCCTGGTCTACAGAGCGAGTTCCAGGACACCCTCCAAAGCAATACAGAGAAACCCTGTCTCGAAAAACCAAAAAAAAGAGTAGATTGTATTAATCATAGTCCAACATTGCTTATATACTAAAAGTCATTAAATGGTACTTTTTTTAAAGGGCCAGTTTCCACCTTTAATCCCAGCGCTTGGGAGGCAGAAGCAGGCAGATCTCCAGGTTCAAGGCCAGTCTGATCTACAGAACAAGTTTCAGGACAGCCAGGGCTGCACAGAGAAAATCTGTGTTGCAAAAGAAGGGTGGGGAGGCAGTTTCATATCATGTGAACTATATCTCAATAAAGCTGTTTTAAAAGAAAAATGTTACACAAAGCTAGCCCATAACAACAACAGCTATAATAATAGCAGTTATTACTGCTATGGTGTTTCCCATGTTCTGGATACTATGCTAAACAACTGAAACATATGAGCTTACTTAATCCTCATGACAATGTTATGTGGTAGATTCTGTTATTACCTCCATTCAATACATAAGGAGAATAAATGAAGACTGAACAATTTGCTGATAGTCACACAGAGGGATAACCAAAATACTTATTCAACAGCTAACTTTTCACTCCTTTGCATGTTCTCCCAGTGCCTTGTACAAAAGAGGCACTCTGTAAATGTTAGTCATATATCTAGTGCATATTTCTATTCATCCAGCAAACATTTGTAAAACATTGTCCGGGCAACACCTGCATGTTCATCCTGACCTGCACCTGCCATTCAAATTCTCTCCGGCATTGGAGGCAGATCAGTATTAAGGCTCATTCACAAAATACTATGTCTACTATGTATCAAGCATTTCTCTGAACACAAGATATAACAATAAATAAAACAGGCAACAGTCTCCTAGTAATGTCAGATGATACCCATAAAGTATCATCAACGTGACTGCCCAAACATGAGATGAAAATTACAGCATTAATGGACATGCCTAAGTGGATGGGGGAAATCCCACAAATCCTCGACCCTACACAAAGGACCACAGGAAACCGAGGAAAGCTGGGAGTGGAAGAGGTAGCCTTACCCAGGGATGAGCACACCCGTGAGTTGGTTAGTGACAAATGGTCAGCCCTGGAAACATATATAGAAGCAACATACATGTATACACAGGCATATCATAACAATTTTAAAGAAGAGGCCATGAATTTGAAGGAAAACAGGAGGGGTATATGTGAGGGTTTGGAGGAAGAAAAGGAAAGAAGAAATGCTATAGTTATACTATAGTCTCTAAAAAAAAACCTAGAATAAACAAACAACAAGCCTTAATCTTATGGTGCTAACATTCTAGCAAGTTAGAAAGAAAAATAAACAGAATATGTAGAACTGTGCTGAATAGGTTCCTCCATAATCCATGTCCACCCAGAAACTGTAAGTAACCTTATTTGGAAAGAAGATTTCCTGCAGATTTAATCAAGTTAAATTAGTGTGTTCTAATCCAATAATGATTGTCAACTTCACAGGATTTAGAATCATCACAACAGAAACAAATCTATGGGAATGCTTGTGAGGGATCATCTAGATTATTTCAACTGTGGAAGGAAGAATCACCCATGGACTGTCTAAAGATGAGAAGGTTAACTGAGCAGAAGTGTGAATCTCTCTCTGCTTTCTGATTGTGGATACAATATGTCCAGATGTTTTGAGCTCCTGCTGACTTGACTTCCCTGCAATGATGGACTTGTACCCTTAAAACTGTGAGCCGAAGTGTAATTTCCCTCTTAAACTGCTCTCATCAGAGATTACTGCAACAGAAAAAAAGTAACTAATATATAAAATTGTTATGAAAAAGTGGTGCCCTTTTTTTGTTTCTGTTTTGTGGGGTTGTTTACTGGGCTTTTTGTTGCTGTTTGTTTTGTTGTTGTTTTTTTCTTCCTTGGTTTAGTTTTTTGAGAAAGGGTCTCTACACATAACCCTGGCTGTCTTGGAGCTCATTATGTACACCAGGCTGGTCTTGAACTCACAGAGATCTACCTGCCTCTGTCTCCTGAGTGCTGGGGTTAGATTAAAGGAGTGTTCTGCCACCACACCTAGCTGAAGTGGGGCTCTTGATATTATAAAACTGACTATGGAGGCTTTTGTTATGGTAAACCTGACTGCAGTTCTTAGACCTTTTGGAACTGTTTTGTGGCTGGAATGTTGAAGAGTGTGGTACTTGGGGCTAGAAAAACTAACATGCTGGAAGCAGGGCTTAGTGGGCCATTCTCACGGGAATTTGGAAGGCAAGAGAACTGAGAAGAATGTGGACAGTGAAAGCCCAGTTCATGAGGTTTCAGAGGGGAACAAGAACTCCTGGAAAAGTGGGCTAGGGGCCATTCATGTGATGTTTTGATAAAGAATCTGTCTGCATCCTTCCTGTGTCCTAAGAACATGAGTGAGGTTTGATTTAAAGATAATTAACTAACTTGTTTGGTGAAGGAACTTTCAAGACAAAATGGTATCTGGGCTATGGCATGGTTGCTGTTTATTGTTCTGACCCAGGTCTACTAGAAGAAAGGAAAAAGTGAAGCAGAAAGATCAAAAGTGTGTACTTTAGTGAGGAAAAGAGTGTAAGCAAATTAAACCTTATAGACAAGGCAGGTTTGAAAGTAGCTATGACTGTTAAAGAGACTAGCATTATTAAAGAGAAACCCCATGCTTTGCATGGGGACAGTAAGAATGATGTCATAAAGATAGAACAACATCCATCAGAGGCTCCATCTTATAGATACAAATTCATTTGAACGAAGAAAGTCAAAAGAGAAAGGATTCCCAGTTCCTGAAAGGCAGCAGCCTAAGGAACTGTTTCCCAATGGTCAGCACACAGGAGTTGATACAACTGTGGTCCAAGTGAGTGATCTGGCAGCAGAACTTAGTAGTAGCATCCTTGTGATACTCGTTTGAAAGCATGAACAATGCAAGATCAAAGAGGTCATAGACTCTTCTTCCATGGTTTCGGAGAACCTCAGAGGCCAGACAATGTGGGCAGAGTTGGAGGCCATCAACGAAACCCTGAAAGGCTACTGCATGAAGCTGAAAAGCTAAAGTCTAAGTTGCAGTGAAGATCCCAGAATGTTGGAGGTGCCAAAACCATGAGACCTCTGCCGAGGAAAGTTGCAGGCATTGAGTGGACTCAACCCAAAATAGAGGCTATATATGTTCTGCATGTGGCAAAACTAGAGAAACAGAGCTACTTAAGACATTTAGAGTCTGCTATGGAGGGCCTCACCCTCCCTGGGGAAATGAGGGGATATGGGGGGGTTGGGGGGAGGGCACGGGAGAAGGGGGGGGAAAGGGAGAGGGACCTGGAACTGACTTGTGAAGCAACCTTGTTTCTTATCTACATTTAAACTGAAAAATAAATTTAAAAAAAATATATATAAAAAGACATTTAGAGTCTGAATGATTCCATCTGGAACCCCAGATGTGAGATGTGGAGCTTCAAAGTTTGCTATTGTCTCTGCTGGGTTTTTGGTCTTACTTTAGCCCAATCACTCCTTGTTATATCCCCATTCTGCCCTTTTGGAATGAGAACATTTATTCTGTGCCATTATATGTGTTGAAAGTGGGTAACTTATTTTCTGATGTCATAGGGACTCACAGTTAAGAGAATGCCTTGAGTTTCAGATGACACTTGGATCTTTATTTTTTATTTTTAGGACTTATTTTTATTTTATGTGTATGAGTGTTTTGCTTTCATGTATGTATGTGTACTACACGCATGCCTGGTACCTGAAATAGTTAGAAGACAGTATCAGAACTCCTGAATGGTTGTGAATTACCATGTGGGTGCTGGAAACTGAACCCAGGTCCTCTGCAAGACCAGTAGGCGCTCTTACCTGCTGAGCCCTCTCTCTCAAGGACTGACTTTGGACTTTTAAACAGTGTTGGGATTATTAAACACTGTGAAGAGTTTTGAAGTCTGACTTGGTGTATTTTTCATTATGAGACAGTGTGAGCCTGTGGATAAAAGGAGTAGAGGGTTAATGGCTTAGGTCTCATGTAGATAAGGGGTGATTGCTGATAATGACTATCAACTCAATAAGACTCAGAACCACTGTGGAAAAAATCTCTGGGAATGCTTATGAGAGATTGTGGTTATTAGGTTAATTGAGATGGGAAGGGAAGACATATACCCCACAAATGTGGACAGTACTGTTCCATGGGCTGGGGTCCTGGACCAAATGCAACTAAGGAGGAGAAGTGGATGAACAAAACTTCGTATGCCATGGGAAGAGAGGAAGAGGCAGAAAAACACAAGTATTTCAGGAACTATGCATTGAGGGGGGAATAAGAGACACGTGTGTGTGTGTGTGTGTGTGTGCGTGTGTACACATAAGTGTTGTAAGGGAGAATAGATGGGAAAACATTGCCTGATTGGCTTGAAAATTCTATTGCCAAGCTAAATAATTTGAACCTTCTCTTATAGGCAATGAAAAGTTTGTAAACATGTTAGGTGGGCACCCACATGGGCATTGTAGGCAGCAAACATGCCACACTACAAGATGCCTTCAGTATTGGTTTGTTATTGTTGTTCAGCAGAAACCGTGGTACTACATCTCTTTTTGCCTGCCACCTCCCAGAGTCATTTCCCACAAGCCTCTGTAGCCAGTGAGACTGTTCCAATTCCCTTATCCAAGGGCCACCTTTGCCAAGGGATGTGTGCTTGAGGAAGAAAGAGCCCCCCAAACCACGTCTCACCACTGCCAGTATCCAGTCAATAAGAACTTGTCGTGATGTTGAGAGCCATGAAACATTTTCCTCAGATGGTGGCATCTGTTCAAATTGGGTCTTGTCTACTAGATTCTCACAGCTCTATCTATGCACAGACCTTCTCCTACACCTGTTAGCTGCCAAGTACAAAAATGGGAATACCAAGATTAAAAGAAAATCAGGCTCTTGGGGTGTCTCTCAATGGTAGAGCATGCTCTTAGCACGTGCAAGTCTCTGGGCTTGCCAGTCATGGCAGTGCACACCTTTAATCCAGCACTCCGGAGGCAGAGGCAGGAGGATCGGTGCCAGCTTGGTCTACAGAGTGAGATACCATCTTTAAAAAATCTTTCCCTCAGGCAATTTAGTGTGCAGAGGAACTCATTTTCAAGGCAAAAACAACGAGAATCAAAGAAACTGATTGCACCTAATTGCTGCAGTCAGTGACCACTAGTCTAGTAGTGCTTCTCTTAAGTTATTTCCTGGAGTTTGCTGTTCCAAAGAGACATGAAGATGAAGCATCAGAATCCAGAGAGCAGGAAGGTAGGAAAAAGACCATTTGTGTGGAACACAGAAAGAAAGAGAGAAAAGGACTACGCTTTTCTCTTGGGTGTCCTTACAGAGATAGCGGTGCTTAAAACTAAGACAGCTCTTGGCTAATTAATTAACTACGCTGCCAGCCCCCTTCGCCCTATTGGGGATGGGGTGATATGTAACCAAAGTACTTGTCAGCCTCTAACAACTTCAGAAAGCAAGCCTAATAGGCTGCTGTGGAGTTTCGTTTTAGGAGAAATTTTCTCTCTGAAGATGATTTGTAAGCTTGATCCTGTCAGAACATAAAACCACATAACCCATCGTGTTTCCAATTTTGTCCTAGCTGCCATAAAACTTTGAGCCAAATTCAGAGTCCAATTATAATCCAGTTCATTTTAGGTACCTGGCAACATCTATTTGTGCTTCCTTTCCTTAGTCGCTGGTCTGTTTTCCTCCACATTTTTATCCCCAATTGTCTTTCTTTCATGTTATAAACTGACGAGTCGCCTAATACCCTCTTTAAAGTAGGCGAGATATAAATCTCACATAAACTAAACTATATTTACAGATGCTAAGGGAATTTAAAACAATGAAGAACATTTGAAGAACCAGTGATATTTGGCCTAAAGGAAAGCAGGCTTCTAAGGACATGATTACTGTCTTCAAATATCCAGTAGGCCAACAGGAGAGTAATGTAGTAGAATTATTCTGCATAGCTCCAAAATTCACAGCTAGAAGTAATGGATGGAAATTACCGGGAGACAGAGCCCAAGGGAAGAAACCTTTTCCAGGGAGGCTCAATCAACAAGGCGAGTTCGCTGTCACTGGAGGCCTTCAAATAGTGACTGGATAGTATCATTTGGAGGGTCTGTTGCAACAGAGAATGGAAACATATTAGATAGGATGGTTTTAAGTCCCTTTACAGCCCTAATATGTGCAAGACATCGTCATAGCTGTAAGTTAGAAGACAGGAGGGAAAAGAGAAAGGTGTGAAGGGAGAAAGGGAAAGAAGTAAAGACTCACGAAATACTGGGATATTCCAGTCAAAATGGACCTTGACCACTTCAGAGACACTCAAAAGTGGAATAACGGGCTATAAACAGAGCCCAAGTCTGCACTAATCCAGTCCTGTTCCATGTGGTTCTTATAGGGGGAAAGAAACTGAAGAGCCCTTTCCATTGCTCACTACACCACAGGCTGTTATTCAAAGAATAGGCCAAGGCTGTTAAGAGTTTAAAGAGACCTTAGATATCATGTGATCCAAATCTCAGCATCTTTAGTTCGAAGCCAGCTTGGCTTATAGATAGAGGCAGGAATGGAAGGGAGTAGTCTACCCATCGCCCGCTTCACCTCACAAAGAGCTGCTCAAGGGCAAATCAAATTTTCCATCTTTCAATCCTTCTACATGGCTTGGTGTTGGATCCTTGCTCATGGTCGGTACACAATTAGTAGTTGGGACATTGAACTGAGCAGAATTGTCCCAAAGGGTTGAAACCAGAAGTTGGGCCTGCTAACGTGATTATTTTTTGATGCTTTCTATGTCAAAAATACCATTCATTTCTAGCCAG